GACTCCACCCTGAGTGCTGAGTCCTTCATGGGGCTGATCTCAGGACCCTGAGATCATGACCTGAGTTGAAATCAAGAGATCGTCACTTAATGGACTAAGACACCCAACCACCCCAATAAGATGTCATATTTTTAAGTGAAAAAAAAGTTGCACTATGTAGAAATTGGAAATATCTCTTCCGTTTAATCATTCCTGTTTCTTTAACTCAAAATTCTCTGCTCTTCCTTTGAAATTTTATAATGTTTTCAATTTAGCCAGTTACTCATAGTTATCTGTTCTACGCTAAATTATTTGTATAACTTCCTGATCTTTTTGTACTGGAATATAATTTAATGGGTTTATATATAATTCCACATAATGCTTAATTTGAAATGGCGTAACTGATAGATTCCACACATTTTTCTTATATTGAAAATCTTGTGACATTTATGTTGGTTTGAACATAAATGTGCTATTATTTCTAACCTGATAGGAGTATCCATGAAAATGTACATTTCTTCACAGATGTGGGAATCTGAATAAAATTATGGCACAGTAGGAAATTTCCCCTTTCTCAGATATAAAATGTTGGGCAATACAGAGTGTCTATTGAATGAAGGTAAACACTGAGTTAGGAGTAAGGAGACCTGTGGTCTAATTTTGGTGTTACCACTAAAGAGCTTAGTCTTCTGAAGCACTCATTTTCACTTTTGGGAAATTAAAGGTTTTGGATTGGATCAGTGATGTTTTAAACTTTCCATGTATCAAATAACAGTATATTTTCTTCTGTTTCCTCTCACTCCATGTTGTTGCATGTTTCAGTACTGTATTACTTTGTATTTTAATAGATTTCATTGTATCAGTATGCCAAACTTGTACCTCCATTTCACCTGTTAATGGGTATTTATGTTTTTTCTAGTTTGGAGCTATTACAAATGAAGCTACTGAAAACATTTGTGTACAAGTCATTGTAGGTTCATGTTTTGATTCTCTTGGGTAAATACCTAAAAGTTGGATGACTGGATTATATGATAGATATATGTTTAACTTAATGGGAAACTGGCAAATTGTTTTCCAAAGTAGCTGTACCCTTTTACATTCTCACACACAGTATATGGGAATGACAGATTCTTCACATTCTCACCAAACCTGTGGTGGTCAATCTACTTCATTTTCACCATTCTAAAAGGTATGTGGTAACATTTCATTGTAGTTTTAATATGTATTTCCATAATAATCCTGTTGAGCAACTTTTCATGAGCATTTTTGCCATTTATGTATCTTCTTTGTTGAAGTGTCTATTCAAATCTTTTGCCCATTAAAAGTTGGTTTTGTTGTTAGTGTTTTGAGAGTTTTTTAGATATTCTAATATGTGTCCTTTATTGAATATAGGCTTTGTAAAGAATTTTTTCTCCCTTTCTGTGGATTGTCTTGCCATTCTTTCAGCTTCTTTCATAGAGAAGATTTTACTTTCTATGAAGTCCAACTTAGCGTTTTTTCTTTTGTGGATTGTATTATACCTAATGCCACAAAGACTCTATTGTATATTCTGTTGAAATTTCATTCTAATTGGAGATTTTTCTGTTCCTACTTGCAGTTTGGTCAGGTTTTGCTTCACAATTTTTGAAGCTCTTTTACTAGAAAAATAAATTTAAGTTATGCCTTTAAAAAATCAAATAAGATGATCGCTGCCTTTTAGTTGGAGTTTTAAATCTCTTACATTTGATATGATTATACGGTCAAGATTAAATCTGCCATCTTACAGTTTGTATTATATTTTTTCTTATCTGTTCTTTGCTCCCTTTTTTTCTCTTTTTCTGCCTCCTTTAAGTTGTGTATTTATGTAATTGTTGTTAGGAATTTTATTTTTAGGTAATCTCTACACCCATCATGGGGCTCAAACTCACAACCCCAAGATCAAGAGTCTCATTCTCTGCCAAATGAGCCAGCCAGGTGCCCCTGCTGTTTATATAATTTTCATTATTCCTTTGTATTTCTACTAATGGTCTTCTAACTGCCTTTTTTTATTATTATTGACTTTGGGTTTTTAGTGTATATATTTAAGTTCATGCAGTCTACCTTCAAATGACCTCATACCAGTTCATGTATAATATAAGAGTCTTAGAACAGTTTACTTTCTCTCCTCTGGGCCTTTGTCATATTTTATATTGTGAATACTTGCATATGCTATATTGTTATTTTGTTTAAATAGTCTGTTATCCTTTAAAGAGATTTAAATAAAAAGAAAAATTGTATGTATTTGCTAAAACACATTTTCAGTACTCTTTATTCTTTCAGTAGATCCATATTTCTACTGGGTATCATTTTCCTTTCACATTAATGGCTTCTTTTAACATTTCTTTGAGCTGTTGGTGATGAATTCTTTGAGCTTTTGTATTTCTTAAAAAGTGGTATTTCACCTTCATTTTGAAAAACACTGTTGTTGGGTATACCCTTGATTGTTGTAGAGACCTTTCTTTCGGTGTTTTAAAGATGTTGCTTCATTTGCATTGCTTCTCTTGAGAAATTTGTCAATGCTCAATGAACTTCTTGAATCTGTGGGCTTCTATTTCTCATAAATTTGGAAAATTTTAGCAATTATTTCTAAGAATATTTTCTGTGCCTCACTTATACTCTGTTCTTCTTCAAGGACTACAACAATTACACATATATTAGACTATAATTTGTTTCAAAACTCTCTAATACTCTTTTCATTTTGTTCTGTCTTATTTTTAATAGTTCCAATTATTGTACTTTAAAATATACTATCTTTTCTAATGCCTGATCTATTATTAATCTCATCCAGTGTATTTTTCATCTATGACATTTTATTTTCTATCTCTAGAAGTTCACTGTGATGTTCATTTGGAAGTTCATATCTCTATCAAATGCCTATCATTTCCTCCAGCTTTTTTGAAATTAAGAATACAATTAAACCAATATTTTTAAATTTCTTTGTCTACTAAGTCTTCAATAATTGTGAGTTCCATTTTGCTTTCAATATGACAGGTTTTTCTCCTCATTGTATTTTTGTAAATCTTTGCACATTTGGTAATTTTCAGTATAACACCAGAAATTATAAATTTTAGATTTGGGGGGAGGTGGATATTTTTGTATTCATATATATATGAACATTCATAAATATTCTATAGTTCTGTTCCAAGATGAAGTTAAGTTACTTGGAAACCATTTGATCTTCGGGTATCCCTTTTAAGAGTTGTTAGTACCAGCACAGTATTTAGTCAGGATAATTATTCCCCACTACTGAGGCAAAACCCTTTAGCATCCTTTACCCAATACTATGCACATGATTGTTTTCCAGTCTGGCTTCAGAGAGCCAGCACCATTCCTGGTCTGGTGTAGGCTCTCAGTCCTCCCCTCAAATGCTTTTGGGTAATCCTTTCCCTGGCCCCAGGTAGGTTTCTCACATACAAACCCTCATAAGTACTCTGAAGAACACTTAAGGAAAAGCCTCTGCAATCTCTGGTATTCCCTCAACATCAGAGATTGGCAAAAGGTCAGATAGAAATATCTTAGGCTTTGTAAGCGACATACAAATTCTGTCACATATTTTTCTTTTTCTTTATATTCCTTAAATAAAAGAAATGTGAAGACCATTCTTAGTACATGGGCTTTGTGAAAACAAGCTGTGGGCTGGATTTGACACATAGGCTGTAGTTTGCCAATCTTTGACCACTCAGCTTTCTCCTATCTGTTACTCTGTTCTACACATCAGAGCTACCTTAATTTCCCTGGACTCTCAGCTGCTTCTGCTCAATGGAAGAGTCTGTCCCGCACCACCCAGGCTCACATATTGGTTGTGTCTTGGACACAGTCGCAGTAAGTGGGACCATTGTTGAGCTCTCATTTATTTCTTCTCTCTTAGGCACTTCTGTTCTGAGTTGCCTGATGTCCAGTGTTTTAGAAACCATCGGCTCATATATTTTTATCCAGTTTTTCAGTTGTTTGAAGATACAGAGTAAATCTGGTCCCTATTACTCCATCTTTCCTAGAAGTGAAGTTTGAGCATAAATATGTTATATGTCCTTCAGTTTATTCTTGTTAATGGTTTTTCTATAAATGGCTGGTTATAGTGGTTTTTCTATGAACAATCAAAATACAGAAAGATTTAAGTGCTTCTAACAGTCACTTTTAAGTTAACTTTATCTAACTGCACGTATAGTCCAGGAGTAGTAAATCCATTTGTCTTTTATATTTTTTATGTTTGGGGTTTTTTAGTTTTATTTTTCCCTCACTGTTTATCTTTCTGTTTGATTTTCTGAGCTTTTCACTTTATCATTACATTCATTAATTTGCCTTTGCCAGTACGATGTCAGTTCTACTCCTGCGAGTGTTAGCCAACTGGGATGTCAAATGTTAAAAACAGAAAACAAAGGACTATAAAATACAGAAGGAAAAGAAAAGAGAAAGAGGAAAGGAATGAATAAAGAAATACAATGTTCTCTCAATCCTTGGCAGTGTTGATTTATTGGCTTCTTGAAACTTGTGTAGCTACTGAGAAGTCAGACAGTGTTCTGATTCTTTTCCTTCTAGGTAATGTTTATTATTGTTAAGAGTACGAACATTACTTTTTACTTTATCTGGATGTTCTGAAATATTACTACACTGTTTCTAGTGTTGTTTTTATTCACTTAACACTTGTAATGCTTTAATATCATAGGACTCCTACCTTGCCTCAGGTCTGGGAAATTTTACTACTATTTGTTTAAATATGAACTCTTTTTCGTTCAGTTTCCCCCTTCTAAAACTCTTGCTCAACAGATGGCAGAAAATCCAGGTTTATCCTCAGATTCTCTTAATGTTTCTTTTAGATCTTCCCTCTCTTTCCCCTCTGTGCTTCACGCTAAGATAACTTCTTGATGTGCTCCTCTAGCTAATGAATTTGCTTTTTCATTTTGCATAGTATGCTATCTAGCACATTTAGTGATGTCTTTAGTTTAAAATTTCCATTTTTCTGGAGTTTAGCGTCCGTATTTTCTCCCAAAGCAGTTCCCCGGAGCATGGCGGCTCCTGGTCCTGTGACTCCCGGGGCACCCTTTGAACCAGCACAGCCCCCAGTCATTGAGGGCTTTAGCCCCAGTATCTACAGCACTCAAGAAAGCTTCAAAGAAAAATTTCTTCGCAAGACCCGCGAGAACCCAATGGTACCCATAGGCTGCCTGGGCACGGCGGCCGCCCTAACCTACGGCCTCTACTGCTTCCATCGGGGTCAGAGCCACCGCTCTCAGCTCATGGTGTGCACCCAGATCGCTGCTCCAGGCTTCACGGTCGCAGCCATCTTGCTGGGTCTGGCTGCATCTGCTATGAAGTCTCGATCCTGAGTCCGAGACCTGGCCTTGAAAGTTACACAGAGATCATTCCCAGCCCTAGGAGCAACCACCGGTCCCGCTACCTGACTTATTCCCGTGACTCCCCTGACAAGTCCCTGTATCAGCGGGGGAGGAAGTGGCCAATTGTGTAACTGACATGTTTTTTTAGGAATCTCAGATTCGGTTCAGTTTGGGTATTGCATAGTTCTATTTGTGCCCCACTTTCTTCACTTCCTACTTAATAAACTGATCCACTTGTAAAAAAAATAAAATAAAAACTAAAATTTCCATTTTTCTATCCAATATCTCTGTCTTAAAATAACCTATGTTTCCTGCAAGTGATACTTTTTTGACCTTCTGAGCATATTAATTATACCCATTTTATTACCAGTTAAATTTTGAGTTTTTCTCTGTCATGTTGGCATTTATTCATATGTGCTTATTTATGACCATGTACTCATCTTTAATGTGTATTTCCTATTAAAATATCTGTTGTGGATAAGCAACTTGCTTGGGGCAAGAGGGAGGAAGTTTTTCTGTAGCTTGGTACTGGGACTTGATTTGGAGAATGAGACTTAAATGTGAGTGAGATGCTCAGACACCTATTCTTTTTGGTATAGCTGCTCCAGAGACTGTCAAGCTCGCACGTTGTGTTTTTCAGTTGAGAATAGTCTCATTATTGCTTTAAATAGGAGGAAGCAGGAAGATTAAAACAGGTTAAACTTCTTTGCTAAAATTTCAGTAGTTTTGGGGCGCCTGGGTGCCTCAGTTGGTTAAGCGACTGCCTTCGGCTCAGGTCATGATCCTGGAGTCCCAGGATCAAGTCCCACATCAGGCTTCCTGCTCAGCGGGGGGGTCTGCTTCTCTCTCTGACCCTCTTCCCTCTCGTGCTCTCTGTCTCTCATTCTCTCTCTCTCTCAAATAAATAAATAAAATCTTAAAAAAATATATAAATAAATAAAATTTCAGTAGTTTTTTTTTTCTTTTCTATAAAATTATATTGACCTCTGGGCCTTGTCTGTTTCTAGCATTCACTACTTTTGGGCATGGAGCACCCTTGGTGTCATTGCTTCATACATTTTGAGATACGGTCTCCTCCTTTACCCTGTCTCATCTGCTTTGTTCTTTTCGGGATTCCACAAAGTTTCTGGTTTGCTGCTCATTTATAAACATTGTTATGTATGGGAGTATATATATTTTAATGAATCTTCTATCATTTTAGACGATTTCATGTGAAAATAGACGTGCTTATGATTAGTGCACCATCTTGAATCAGAAGTGTATTTTGTTATTCTCAGATTTCCAAACCTCATTTTAATCTTTCCTTGTGAACCCAGTGGGAGTTATTCTATAACTGCTTCATCCATCAGTAGCTCTGGCATTGTGGAGCATCTGGATAATGGAGGAATCTATCAACAATTCTGCAAATTCAGGCTTTGAGATCCATTTACTATCAATAATTTGTTCAGAAGAAGGTAATATTAAAATATTACCTTATCGGTTAGATTTTTTCTTATTTATACAGTTGCAATTCAAATAATTAAAGGGATTGGATCAGATTGTTTTTAGGCACAATAAATTTATTATTGCTCTATAATTCAAAGCTCACTAATCTCTCTTGTTGATAGCTGTACTGTTGATTCACTAAATTTAGCACGGAATGCCCAGTAGACCAATCACCAGACAACAAAGTATAAAAGGGCACTTATTGAGCAGAAGTGGGACAGCACTCTGAGGAATCTCTCAGGACATTACATTGGTTCCAGTGGACAAGAGTTTACTTAGCAGTTCTAAGTCCTTTTATCCTTCATTAATTGTGATAGTACCTAGTAGTTTATTTTTTCTACATTCTAAAACAAAACAAAAAATATATACATGTAAGGAAATTAAGTACCAGGAAAGGTAATTCTCTATATTACATTAGAATTTTTTAAAAGATTTTTATTTATTTATCAGAGAGAGAGAGAGAGCATGCATGCACACGTGCACAAGCAGGGGGAATGGCAGGCAGAGGAAGAAGCAGGCTCCCCACTGAGCAAGGAGTCCAGTGCCCAGGACCCTGGGCTCATGACCTGAGGCAAAGGCAGATGCTTAACCGACTGAGCCACCCAGGCATCCCTACATTAGAATTTTTTAGTCAACCAAATATTTCCAAATAAAATATAGCCATATATGACATGTTAGTTCCAAATTTCTCTATTCACACTTAATATTTCCCAGTTATTACTAGCAAAATATTTTCACATGAATTAAAGAATCAATTACATAAACAGTGGATATTTTTTGAAATACTCCAATGTGTAAGACATTTTACAGAAGGCAAAGTTGAACAGGACAAATTATCCTCAAACTGTGACAAGGTAGCTGTGGAGAAACAATGCAGACATGACTAATAGCATTATACGGCAAAATAATTAAAATCCAAGTTAGCACATGAAACATTTCTAAAAAGGCCCAGCAGGACATAGTCGTAAGCGTTAAGAGAAAGGTGTGATCACTGTGAACATTTGTTAGTCTGGAAATTTCCTGGAGGAGACATAAGTTCTATCTCCATGGACACATCAATTCAAAAGACCGGGATCTACACTTTAGGTAGAAGTTATCCCTGCAATGTAGCTTGGTTGTCAGAAACCAGACCTGTTTGATGATAAAGGAGTGGGACAGCCTAGATGTATTCCATAGCTTATAATAGGTAATAGTAGTAGGGAAAGACAGAAAGGAGAATTGGGCATCTGACAGCAGAAAAATTTAAATGCTAGACTATGTATGACCTAATTTTATAGGTTGATGTCTTGATTAACTGTATGGGTCAGGAATGTAACTCCATAGCCAGACCAGACAAGTTTAGAAGAAGCAGCATGAGTATATTTTAGTAAGTGGGTATTTGGCAACTAAGAAAGTCCATAATTTATTAATTCTTGCAACTTAATCTCAGGCATGTGCTGGTTTCCTGTGGACACACTACCTAATAACATGGGTAATGATCTCTTGGGACTTACATGTAAGAATTAAGTTTAGGGGAAGTGGTTTAAAGGAAGCTTTGCCGTACCCCACTCATGAAGGCACAGAGGCTGAAAAGAGTTCAGCAAGTTTGTTTGGTATGCAGGTGTTGTAGTGGCTGGGAGGACTAACGTTGCATGTCACTATGACTGGGCTAAGGGACACCCAAATAGCTGCTGAGACATTATTTCTAGGTGTGTCTGTGAGGGTGTATGCAGAAAAGATGAGCATTTGAATTGGTAAACTGAGGAAAGAAGAATGACCCTCACAATGTGAGTGGGCATCATTCCAGCTCTTAAGGGCCTGAATAGAAGAAAAATGTCGAGCAAAGTGAATTTATACTTTTAACTGTGACATCCATCTTCTGCCCACAGACATTGGTGTGCTCGTTCTTAGGCCTTTGGGCTCAGGAACCTAGACCATTGGCTCTCTTGGTTCTCAGGCCTTCAGACTCAGATTGAATTATACCACTGGCTTTCCTCGTCCTTCAGCTTGCAGACAGCACATTGTAGGACTTCTTGGTCTCCATAATCATGTGATCCAAATTACTAATAATAAATCACCTCATATCTGTCTATCTCCCTCTAGCCAGAAATCCTATTGGTTCTGTTTCTGCAGAGAACCACCCTGACTAAGACAGTGTGGCCCAATGAGAGTGGAAAACAGTATTACGAGATGAGGTTGAGGAACAAAGGCAAGGGGGAGATCCTTCAACAGCTTTTATTTTTGGAAAGGGGCCAGGTTAAATTCTACATGTAACAGAATATTTAAAGTTTTCATCCATGGCAAGGAAGTAACATGATCTGGATAATAGGCCAAGGCTAGTGGTAAGAACTGCTAAGAGAATATTTCAGCAAGAGATGCTGGTGAATTGGATTAAGGAGATGACATTTGAGATGGAGAGGAGCTAAAGACTTGGAGTTGCATTTCTAGAATTAGAAGTAGCAGGAGTCCCTGATGGATTGGATGTAGGGAGTAAATGGAAACAGAATAAGCTTTTCTGTTTGAACGATAATATGGAATTTGTAAGCCTAAGGGAGAGATCAAGAGTTCATTTTGTGATTTGTAAAGTGTGAGATATATGTGAAATATTAGTTGGGTGTGTGAGTTTGCATCTCAGAGAATTCTAGGCTTTTTCATTTCTGACTCCTTGGGAGTCTTCTTGTCTTTCCATGCTTTAGTATTATGTTTTCCCATATTCTTTCTTTGACCTTCTTCACTTCTCACTTGACATACTATCCGTGGCTTATAACATTTACTCCTGGGTTTCATCTTTAACCTGTTTGCTAATGATACATATTTTCTTATCTTCAATTGAGTCCTTTCTCCTGAATGTATAGTTACATATATTCAACTGTCTACATGTGTTTTGTATGCATCCAAAACTCCTTATAACTGACAAAGACACAGCCTTCCATTGAGAAACCTGAGACAACTCCTCACTTCATCTTTGTTCTCATTCTGCAGATACAATCAATAACCTAATTTTGCTGAATGGTATTTTTAATCTTCTTGAGTGTTTATAAAAATCTTCTTTACTTGGGTTTAGTTTAGTCCTAGAGTCAGGATAGGACTGGACCTAAGGGTGAGTGTAAATGGCCCTCACTCTGAGGGTCCATAAGACAGAAAGCCAAATATAATGTGAGGTTAAGCAGTAAAGAGCAGGGAATTCTCAGGATTCAGGTAAAACGTTAGGGTAATTGTTAGGACAGCTGTGAGCTAGACAGATGGGAGCTAAGGAGAAACTAGAGGCAAAGACATTTCAGAGTGGGGACTAGGACACCAAGTTGTAATAAGAAATTGTACATAAGCAAGGGTACAACGTGTTTTTCTTTTCAAATGTATTTCTGAAAAAAAATTCAATTATACCTCACTGAAGAATCAATTTGAAGGGGAAGGCAGATTGAAAAGACTATCCTCAACTAGCGGACCATGGATCCCTTGGAACATTTCCCTGGAGTTTAGAGTCCTATCTTGTTGGCAATCATCTGTCTTGAGTAAACTTCACTGTG